TATAGCCACATTTACATGAAATTTCATGGGAAAGCAAGGAAATATTAAATATTTAACTCCTTGCTTTTCATATTTCAGAGTGCTAAACATATAATAAATCTCAGATGCTTATTAGACTTTTAAGAGTTGTAAAGGAGCAGTACAGGTTAGAATTTCTTAATCTGAAGTCTTTAAATACTTTGAGATTTATGAGAAGGTTTTATGAATCTGTTGAGATTGTTGGCAGGTCTCTGAATTCTAAACTTTTTAGTGTACTTGAATTGGAGGAGTATCTATAACTTTGGTTGTGAATAAGACGGATTTGATCTCTACTTTGCTGGAGATAGTATTCTTTTATTTAAAATTGTAGGTGAACACAATACCTTTATTTTATTTATTTATTTTTATGTGGTGCTGAGGACGGAACCTAGTGCCTCATGTGTGTGAGGTAAGTGCTGTGCCATTGAGCCACAATCCCGGCCCTCCTGGAGATAGTATTCTAATAGGAGAAAATAGACTTTGAATAACAAAATATGAGTAAATTTACAGATGGCAGAAATGTTTTAGAGAATTTAAACGTTGTGATAGAATGAGAGTAATAATAAAGATTGTTAGGTAGTATAAGTGGTCAGGGAAAGCTGAGAAGTTGACATTTTTTGTGCTTTGGAAATTACCGAGAGTGGCTGACATTTTTTGTGCTTTGGAAATTTCCTAGAGTGGCCTTTGATTCAAAGATTAACAGAATAGTTAGCACTCAGATCCAGTGATGGGGACAGTGTTCAAAAATTAAGTTGGAGTGACTCCGGAGGCTGAGGCAGAAGGCAAGTTTGAGACCAGCCTTAGCAACTTAGTGCCTGAGGCCCTACACAACTTAGTGAGACCCTGTCTCAAAATCAGAAGGGCTGAGGATGTAGCTCAGCGGTAAAGAGCCCCTGGGTTAAAAACCCCAGTACCAAAAAAAAAAAAAAATAGTTTGAGAGATAATTAGAAGTCATATCATTCAGGGCTTTTTAAACCAGAGTACGAAATCTGCATTTTATTCTAAATATAATGAGAAACTGTTTCAGGATTTTAAACTGGAAAATGATGAGAAAAGAAAACTCAAGATAAAGCCCTTTCGAAATTTAAGAGTTCAGGGGGCTGGGGATGTGGCTTAAACGGTAGCGCGCTCACCTGGTGTGCACACGGAGCTGGGTTGGATCCTCTGCACCACATACAAATAAAGATGTTGGGTTCCACCAAAAACTAAAAAATAAATATTAAAAAAAATTAAGGATTCAGAAAAATAGCAAATGAATTCAAAAGGAGAGGAATATATTGTTCAAAAGGAGAGGAATATGTGGTGAGAGTAGCTGTTTCATATCTTTTTGAGAATACAAGTAAGATTAGATTAACCTGACCATTAGATTTGGCAACAAGTTTGTCAAAAGGACCTAATGGCTGTGAAATCAGTAGCTATTAGAACAAAATGCAGGTTTGGGACGATTTATACCAACTTTACTGTCTTATATGGTTTATTTAATGAAACTGCAAGTAGTTTTCCCTTTGTTAAATGTTAATCTTTAACCTGGGCATGGTGGTATGAGTCAAGAGTTTGGGTTTTGAGCAAAAATATCTGAGTTAATATCTGCCTTTTTAGCTTATTCAGTCTTCCTTTCTTTCTTTCTTTCTTTCCTTCTTTCTTTAGAGAGAGAGAGAGAGAGAGAGAATTTTTTAATATTTATTTTTTAGTTCTCAGTGGACACAACATCTTTATTTTATTTTTTATGTGGTGCTGAGGATTGAACCCAGCACCCGGCGCATGCCAGGTGAGCACGCTACCGCTAGAACTACATCCCCAGCCCAGCTTATTCAGCCTTTCTAAATCTCCATTTCTCTTACCTGCAAATGGGATAATATACTTATGGATTTGCTCTGTGTGAAGCAGTTAGCATAGCATGTGGTGCATGGTTGTATGAATAATAAAAATTATAATGATATGCAATAAAATATATTTGTGCTCTTTGGAGTTGGTATTGTTTATAGGAATAAAGTACTGTTTTCCCTTTATAAATAATTCCTGTGGATGATGCTTTAGCAACTAATCAGCTTTTTCAAACATTATGTAGTGTCCAGCTCTCATTTTGAATATATCTTCTAAACACCTTTTTGGCTGTTTAATTTTGAGCCTGTTATAACCCCATGTACCAATGTAGCATTTCACTCTACAAATAGATATAGATTTTTCTTTTTTAGCATCTAGAAGACAGTCTCAATTTATCGAATAGTAATAACTATTTATAGTGCTTTATTAAAGAAGTCAAAATATAGTCAGTTTCACAATTTACTCTTAGTGTTGTGAGATCCATTTGGATATATATGCAAATAACTAACTAGAATTAAAATTAATTTGAGAGCTTTCTATAAAATAGGTAAATATTTTTTCATTTTGGAACTAGGGGTATCGCTTGGTGGTAGAGTGCTTGCCTAGAGTGTGCAAGGTGCTAGATTCAATCCTCAGCATGGGCCGGTGGGGCTGAAATGAAAATAGACAGTTAAAAAATTTTTAATTTTCGTTGGTGATCAAACCCAGGACCTCACACCTTCTAGTCAAAGCACTATACTGTTCAGCTAAACCCCCAGTCCCCAGTGTTCATTTTTATTTTCTAGTAGCATACATTCTAAAACCCCAAAAAAAGTTAAGTTGATTTATTTATATTTTGTGGTACTGAGGATTGAACCTATGGGCAACTACCACCAAGCTACAGCCCCAGCCCTTTTTAAAAAAAATTTATTTGTGACAAGATCTGGCTAAATTGCCGGTCTGACCTCTAACTTGCAATATTCCTGCCTCACAGGCCTCCTAAGCAGCTGGAATAACTAGGATTATAGGTGTGTGCCACCTTAATTGGCTTACCCATAATTTAAAGAGCCTGGCACATAATAGTGCTTGTCAATATTTGTTGAATGAATGTACAAAAAGTTTTTAGCATACATAATAGAAACCATTCTCTCATCAATAATGGGCTTCTATTCAAGGTTGAATAATTTCAATAAAATGTGAATTAAATGTAATACTTGAAGAATAACAAGTATAAATAATTGACTTCTGTTTCATTACACTTCAAATGATTCATCTTTGTAAGCAGACTATTGAGCATAATTAAATCTTTAATGAGTTGTAATACTATTGTACTTTATTCTGAATGTCAGTTCTCATTTTTTAAAACTACAGTTATTTGTAAATGTAGTATGTAGTGGGTATTGTTTAAAATATGTGTTAGAGGTTTCAGGTTGGGTTTTATATTTATTTGAAGAAAACTTTTGATAGACACAGTGATGAATTTTATGATTCGTTTTTCATTAGCCCACCAAAAATACATCAATAGTAAAATTGAACTGCATATGAGTTCTGGTTAATAGTAATTGTTCTGATTCTTAAATTTGGAGATTTGAAAAATCCTTTTTTTTTTTTTTTTTAATACCATCTACTGAACCGCTTCCCTAGCCCTATTTTGTATTTTATTTAGAGACAGGGTCTCCCTGGGTTTCTTACCACTTCACTGTTGCTGAGGCTGACTTTGTGCTGATGATCCTCCTTCCTCAGCCTCCTGAGCTGCTGGTATTATAGGTGTGTACCACCATGTATTGTTTCCTAGCTATTGTTAATATTTTATTTAGAGACAGGGTCTTTCTAAGTTGCTGAGTCTGGCTTTGAAGTCACAATCCTCCTGCCTTAACCACCATTATGTAAGACTAATAGGAATGTATAAACCTTAAAAATAAACCCTGAAAAACTTCACCATCTCTTTATTATTAAATTATTTATTTATTGTAATTTATTATACATAATGGCAGAATGCAATTAATTTCATATTATACACATAGAACACAATTTCTCAAGTCACTGTACACAAAGTATTTTCACACCATTTGTGTCTTCATACATGTACTTATGGTGGATCATTCCTACCCTCTTACCCCCTCCTTTTCCTTCCCTCCCCTTTGCCCTATCTAAAGTTCCTCCATTCCTCCAATGCTCTTCTCCATCACCATTATGAGTCAGCATCCTCATATCAAAGAAGACACTTTGTTTTGGGGGGGATTGGCTTCTTAACTGAGTATTATAGTCTCCAGCTTTATCGATTTAGCTGCAAATTCCATGATTTTATTCTCTTTTAATGCTGAGTAATGTTTCATTGTGTATATATGCTAAAGTTTTCCTATCCATTCATCTACTGAAGGGCATCTAGGTTGGTTCCATAATTTAGCTATTGTGGATTGTGTTGCTATAAACATTGATATGGCTGTGTCCCTGTAGTATGCTGTTTTTAAGTCCTTTGAGTATAAACTGAGGAGTAGGATACCATCACTTTTTTTCTTATTAATATCACCAAATTCGATGATAAAATATTTTTTAAGGTATTTTTAATTTTAGGCCAGTTTTAAAAGGCCTCCATTGATTTATAGCATACATGAAGTGAAGAACTTGATAAATTCTCACAACTGAACACTCCACACCCATGTAACATATTCAGATCAGGGAACAAAATATTAATAGCCCCCTCCAAACAATTACTTTCTTTTTTCTTTTTAAATTTTTTTTTGCACAATATCTTTGTTTATTCATTTTTATGTGATGCTAAGGCTCGAACCCAGTGTCTCACATGTGTGAACCTCACAAGCGCTCTACCACTGAGCCACAACCCCAACCCCCTCTGGAACAGTTACTTTTTAAATATATGTATATATAAAGTCAGAGACATGGATCAACTTGAGAAACATAGATCCTAGATCTAATTTTATTACTAACTTTTAAAGCATCACCTTAGGCAAGTTATTTCATCTTTCTGTGGGACTAGTCCCCATTTCTAAAATGAAGGAATGAGACTAGACATTTTTATTATGGCTTTAATTCTGTGAAAGTGCAAAGAGATGGAATACTGTGCTATAAAACTGTTATGAGAAGTTGCAGGGTGGAGACTGCACTTTTGACTTCAACAGTTGAATTGACATGAAACATACTCTAAATTTTTTCATTTTTCTTTGTTTTCCAGGTTATATTTCACACTATGTGCTGACTGTATCTACAGAAGATATTTAACAAAAAAAAAAGATAAACTTTTTTCAAAGATTTTGATTCCAGTGGAATCTTTGCTTTAGATTTGTGTGTGTGTGTGTGTATTAGTGAATTGTAACTCCAGAAGCAATGCCTGTACAAGCTCCACAATGGACGGATTTCCTCTCCTGCCCAATTTGCACTCAGACTTTCGACGAAACAATTCGAAAGCCCATCAGTTTGGGCTGTGGCCATACTGTCTGTAAGATGTGCCTGAACAAACTCCACCGCAAGGCTTGCCCATTTGACCAGACCACTATCAATACAGACATTGAGCTCCTTCCCGTGAACTCAGCATTGCTGCAGCTAGTGGGTGCTCAGGTAAGATGGGTGACTTAATAGTTTTTAAATTGAGTGTGTGTGTGTTTGTGTGTGCACATGCATGATCTTGACAAAAACTTATTGAATTAGAATTGAATAACATTGTCTTCTATTTAAATAGATACGATGCTTTCTAATACTATGTTGATCCTTTATTTCAGTATATTACAAGATACACTAGTATTTCAGTATTTTTCATTCATAGTATTGAAATGTTCATTTATTCTTAGATTTTTTTAAGAACCCTAGCTATTCAGATTACTAGAAAAACTTAAGAGATAAGTCATAAGGAATTCTTTGCACTGAGGAAAATGCTATTCATAAACCCTTGCACTGAATTAATAGAAGAGATAAAGCTGCTTCAGGCAGTTTTACATATTAGATACTAACTGAAATGATGAAAAAGGTGACAAAATCAACAGAGCACAGCTTTTAAGAAGCACTTATTTTAAAGAGGATCAAATATCCCTGGTTAGCTACATTTGGAAGTTAGTCTGGTAATTCTGAAGGTAATACTTTGAAAGTTTTATGTAAGTGTTCTCAAATTAGATGATGGGATAGTGGTTCCCGCCCCCGCAGCACTCCAGGGAACTGGGGATTAAATTCAGGGCTTCATGCATATGAGGTAAGCATAATACTACTGAGCTACATTCCCAGCCCCTAGTGTTCTCAAAGGTCATTTTCCTCACAAGATTTAAAGACAAGTTTTTGAGTGTTAGATATGATTCATTTAGATAATTCTTCACTATTGATTTGTTCAGTGTAAGTCTGAAGTCCCATATATTTAGTATAAAAGTTTAATCTTCTGTAAATTGCTAAAGTATGACAAAAATTGATGTTATTACATGTGTCAAAGATAAAGAGAGGTATTCTAGGATAGTTTATTCAAAAGGAAACCTTTATTTATATGCTTATCTTGATATTACCACCAGCACTACTAAATATTTATTAAGTGAGAAAGTACAGAGCCTGTCTTAGTGACACATAGCCAGTAATATCAGTTATTCAGAAGACTAAGGCAGGAGGTTTACAAGTCTAGCCTGGGCAATTCAACAAAACCATGTCTCAAAATAAAATAAAATGGGCTGAGTATTTCTTACTTGTGGGAATGAAAAATCTAACAACCACTTTAGAAGACAGTTTGGTAGTCTCTTGTTAGTTTAATATTGAAAATTGCCCAACTAATTTGAAAATATATTTACACAGAAACTTTTATTTGACTATTATCTCAGTGGTTGAAGACTTGCTTGGTGTTCAGGAGGCCCTGGGTTCAATCCTTGGTACCACAAAAAAAGAACAACCCACTGAATGGAGGAAAATAATACTAAAATCATATAAGGGACTTATATCTAGAATATGTACGATTTTTAACTCAATGTTTAAAAGACAAGCCAACTAAAAATGGGTGAAGATCTACATAGACATCCCAGCAAAGAAGACACAAATATGGCAGATGAAAAGTTTCTCACATTAGTAGAAGAAAGGAAATAAGGGGAGGAGGAAGAGGAGGGAAAGAGGAAATACTGGGCAATAATATTGGCCAAATTATATTGTTATATTGTATGCATGTACAAATATATAACAACAAATCATACCAATGTGTACAACTGTAATGCACTAATAAAAATAGGGAAAAAAAATCACTAGGAATAGCAAATTAAAGCAACTGCTCACAGTTTTTCATACCTTTGCTTACCTATTAGAAAAACCAAATTCTGAAACATGGACAACAAATGCTGAAGAGAATGGAGCTACACAAACTTTTATTTTTTACTTGTAGGAATGAAAAATCTAACAATCACTTTAGAAGACAGTTTGGTAGTCTCTTGTTAGTTTATTATTGATAATTGCCCAACTAATTTGAAAATATGTTTACACAGAAACTTTTATTTGACTATTTACACCAGTTTTATTCAGAACTGCAAAAAAAATGTAATCAAAATGTCTTTCAATAAGCAAATGAATAAACATTGGTATATTCATATAATTAGAATATTGTATAAAATGAAATAATAAAAGGAAGTAGTAGTTAAGCCACAAAAAGACACAGATAAACCTCAAATTTATGTTGCTGAGTAAAAGATGCCACTTTGAAAATCCTACAATACTGTATGATTCCAAATATGTGATATTGTATACAAAATTAAAAATCACAATAAAAATATCATTGGTTGCTAGGATCCAGTAGGAAGGCAGGAGGATTGATGAAAAATAGAGTATTTCTTAGGGCAATGAAACTATATGATTCTGTATTTGTTGGATGTATGATATTCTACATTTTTCAAAAAGAGATTTTAACCCAGGAGCGCTTTACCACTGAACTTCATCCCTGGCCCCTTTTATTTTGTGACAGTCTCACTAAGTTGCTGAGGCTTATGTTGTCTTGGGATTCTCATGTCTCAGATTCTCAAATCACTGAAATTACAGAAGTGTGCCACCACACCTAGCTAAAACACAAAACTTTACAAAGTTTATGGAGAACAATCTGAAATAAATGAAACAACTTCACTGCAAGGGCTGTAGAGGAAAGGTGCTAACCTGATTAACTTTAGATACTAGTTCAAAGTAAGTAAATTCTCGGAAAATTAAAGGCATTAGATATTATATATGAACAGTGTGTTCTAATTGATAAAGTGTTTTCCCCATGAAAGTATTAATTAATTCTGACACTGCTGTACATGTATATGGGAATTAAACTTTTAAGTAAATGGGAGGCAGATGGTAGAGAATGAATTTTCTCATTATTGGAAGTTTATAGATATGCAAAGAGGAAGAGGCTAGAATGATCTGTGTGCTAATGGCTTAGAATTGGGGCATCAGTGGAAACTTGGTTTTAACTGAATATAGATACAAATGTTTTTATAGTAATACAAATGTTTTTATAGTAATATTCACACACACCTGGGGTATAATATACACATTTTTTTTTTTTTGCCTTGTCAGCCAAGATGGACTAGCAAGCACAATACCCCAATATCAGCATTCATACCTAATGTTCAATTTTGGCTTCTAAATACAGTTCTTTACTAAAAGAAACCAGCATTCTTTGGAAAAGTGGCTGATTGTAGCCCTGCAATAGGAAGTTGGAGCATCTAGTGCTAAAAAGTCTAAAAGCTCAAATACAGTCAGTGAAGGGGATATGTCATAGGCACACAGGAATCATCTGAAAGAGCTCTCAGTGGTCAAATCTGAAACAGTTTGAAAACAAAACAAATAGAATTGTATTGGATTGTTATTAAAGTATAAAATAATTATTCAAGTATATACAGATAAAAACCTAAATGACTGAATAGAGAAAGAGACTGGATTTCTCATGCGAAATTCCAAATTTAAATAAACTCTACCCTCAAAGAATACACATGTGGGCTATACATAGTGACTCCCTTTGGAAAGTAGTGTATGGAGGGCTGGGATTGTGACTCGGGTAGAACTCTCGCCTCACACATATGAGTCCCTGGGTTCGATCCTCAGCACCATATAAAGATGTCCAACTGCAACTAAAAAATAAAAAGGAAGGGAGGGAGGGTATGGAAAGTAGGAAATTGACTAACTTCATCCTTACACAAAGATACATCTGTATTTTTCCTTAGGAAGTTCATAATTGCATTTTTGTTTTTGTGCCTAGGATTTGATCTTACTTAACGACTGAGGCAGGTGTTAATTCAGATGGTAGGTGTTCCAACAAGACTCTCATAAAAAGTAGCATTTCTCACTCAGTGTGGTGGTGCATGTCCAATCCCAGCAACTTGTGAGGTTAAGACAGGAGGATTACAGGGTTTGAGTCCAGCCTCAGCAACTTAGCAAGGCCCTGTTTCAAAATAAAAAATGTAAAGGACTTCGGATATAACTCAGTTGCAAGGCAACCCAGAGTTTAATCCCCAATACCCACTGCTGTCACTCTCACCAAAGTCACATTTCTCAGTGTAGGACTATAACCCAATAAATTAGGAGAACACTTGTGTCAGGAGAATATTTAGAATAAAAGGGAAATCTGAGAAGAAAATGAAAAAGATCTCAAGTTTTAAAGAAAATAAGTATTAGAACACTTGAACACGTATGTAGGATCAGAGCTAGTCCAAATTTCTAGTATTCTATAAGTGTATAGGTGAAGAAAAAAAAAAGCCACAGAATTAAAGTGACAGTCTCAGGGCCCCATTGCATAGGCCAGGCCTTGAACCCAGCTTTATTCTCAACTGTACTGAGGCTGTTTGCACAGATGATGTAGGAGGAAAAGGAAGGATTCCTTTCACCTTAGACAAATTATCACATATTGATTTGTCCTTTTATAGCTTCTTATAAAGGTATAAATATTTTATTGGAAAAGAGATTCCCCATGATACTTTGCTATAATCACAGTAATTCTTGAAATTTCTAAAGTAGGGATGAAGAGTTCATAGTCCTTCCTTTCTTATTTGTGCCATATACCATATATGTACAGTAATGCTTGAAATAAGAGGGGGAGTAGGAGAAAGAAAAGGGTGAAAGACATGGTGAAAGATAGCCTTCCTCTTTGATGCCTGTACAGCTTGGCACATAGTAAATACAAAATCTAGGAATAACCATATCAGCAGGACAAGACTTAGGAAAGAGTAGTAGAAGAGAGCTGACCACATAGGAAATGAAGTTTAGAGAATCTTACAAACTTTTCTGTGAATCTAAAATCATTCCAGAAAACGTTTAAAATGTGTAGAGAAGTTTGAAGTTAAACAGATATTCCAGTTAACTAATTATTTTAGCAGATCTATCTGAAGTGACAAAATTAATCATCATTTCAGATTGTAAATTTATCAGAACAATATATCATATAAATATAGACAATTATATATTGTCTATATATAAATACCCTATAAATTAGAAAATTATTATTTGTCAATTAAAATCAAATGGCATGCATAAGATCCTGGGTATAGTGTGCAGGACACACATACAAACGTTCGTATATTTTAAAAATACACATGCACACACCCACCTATATACATGTATATACATAAATATATTTGGATGTATATGTGATAAATTATAATTACATATGTGGCAGGTAAATGTGTAAAGAATACTCTGCTTTTGGAAAATCGTCTGGCAGATTTTCAAAATATTATCACTAGGTGTGGGTACCCAAGAAAAGCAAAAACAAAACAAAAAAATGGTTCACACAAGATCTTATATACAAATATTTATAGCAGCATTATTCATTATAGTCAAAAATAGAAAACTGAAATGTCTATCAGTTGATGACTCATATAAAATGTGGTATGTCCATACAATGAGGTGTTATTCAGTAATAAAACACTAGAATATATTATAACTTGCATAGCCTTGAAAACATGCTAAGTGAAAGAAGAGTCAAAAAAGACCACACATTATATGATTATGTAATTTTGTTTATATGAAAGATTCAGGAAAAGCAAATTCATAGACCCACACATAATAGATTGGTGTTTTCTACAGTGGGTTGGGATGACATGATGGAGTAACTGTTAAAATGGTATGAGGTTTTCTTTTTGAGGGATGAAATTCTGAGGTTAATTGTGGTGATAGTTATTCAACTGGGAATGTGCTAAAAACCATTGAATTGTGTTCTTAAAAATCAATCAATAATATGGTATGTGAATTGTCTCTCAATAAGGCCATTTTAGAGATGGAACAATTCAGTAGATGTGTATATGAGGAAGATCTTTTAATTAAGTAAATTTAGTAGTTTTGATGTTGCCAGTGTTCAAGTTATCAGTGCATAAACTATACACAATAAGACATTTAATTAATTAATGAATACTCTTTTCCTGCAGGTCCCTGAACAGCAGCCCATTACTTTGTGTAGTGGGGTTGAAGACACAAAGCATTATGAAGAAGCCAAGAAATGTGTAGAAGAATTAGCATTGTACCTGAAACCGCTCAGCAGTGCTAGAGGTAAATCTCATGAAACCATCTATGCATCTATGAAGTATACTTTTCATTACCATAAAAGTTATGAGCTGTGCCTTGTGTGGTGGTACGCAATTATAACCCAGCTGTGTGGGAGGCTGAGGCACAAGTTCAAGGCCAGTCTGGGCAATTTAGCAAGACCCTATCTCAAAAAAGGCTACATAAGGCTATATAGCATGCTTGTCTAACATGTGTGAGGCACTGGGTTCGAATATCAGCACTGCATATAAGTAAAATAATAAAGGTCCATCTACAACTAAAAATATATTTTTTAATAAAAAAAGGGGACTGTATATTCAGCTTTGTGGCATAGTACCCCTAGGTTCAATCCCTAGTATCCCCCCCAAATTGTGAACTGTAAATGAATGAAATTCATTTTTTTTATTGTAAGCCAGATCTACTTCATACTAAATAATGTTGCAAACCCATTAAATAAAGTAGTGAATTTAGAGTTTGTGTTGTTGGAAAAATTATTTGAATGACTAAAAGTGTAAGTATGTATAAGTACTAGCAATTCAGAAGGGCAACCTTTCCATCATTCCACAATTGTCAATAGTCTTGTCTTCTGTCTAGTTTTAGATGGTGCACAATAGGGGATGTAATAAAAATGGAAGTTGCTATTACCTCCCAGAAGGGGCTTGCTATTTGATAATAAAAGTAAGATTAATCACTATGAAATAATATGCTAGAACTGTTATGACTTTAAGATTTGGGTCTTTGAACAATTTTTAATGTTGGTTGGTCTTTTTTCCTTTCTTCTTCAAAGATTAAAATGAATAATAGTATTTCAGATGTCATAGTGAATGTTGAATTTCATGTGATACATATAAACATTTGTATACTTTTAAAATACTTGTGTAGTTACGTTGTTTATTTTAAATATTCTAGTAGGACCAAAACTACTATGCACATACCTACAATCAGCCCATCAGAGAAAGGGCTCCTGGACTGTAAAATTGTACTGTAAACCTATAAATAATGTTTTTATTTTCTTCTAAAGGAGTGGGTCTGAATAGCACTACCCAGAGTGTTCTGAGTCGCCCAATGCAGAGGAAGCTTGTGACTCTGGTTCACTGCCAACTAGTGGAAGAAGAAGGCAGGATTCGTGCCATGAGAGCTGCTCGCTCTTTAGGTGAACGAACAGTTACAGAACTCATTCTCCAGCACCAGAATCCTCAGCAACTCTCTTCTAATCTTTGGGCAGCAGTCAGGGCTAGGGGCTGTCAGTTCCTTGGACCAGGTATATAATTAAAATTTGGTATTTATTGTACTAGTAATTCTAAAAGTATAATGTAGAACTCTTTTAAGTGATATATGAAGACAGCTGGGTTTACAATATCCCACTTGACAAGTTTCTCAGAGAACTTAAAATTTTTCTCTCAATACCAAAGTTTCTTCATTTTCAGAGAAGTTTTTTCTAAATGCATTAGTCCCTAATCTACTTTCTTAATAAAATATAGAGAATATAAGCCCAAATTGCCCATAAAATTGGTTTAATAAATGTAAAGCTATAAGACTGGGGTTCTAGCTCAGTGGTAAAACGCTTGCCTAGCATGCGTGAGACCCTGGGTTTGATCCTTGGTACTATAAAAAAGGCATAGTTCTCAATGTCTTTTATTGTGTTTCCCATTAATTGAGTGATATCTATAGAAATTATCATATATTGTTCTTTAAATAAAATATATCATCTCTGCACCTGATGAATTTTTTGTTTTGCCCAACTTTTCCTAGCAATGCAGGAGGAAGCTCTAAAGCTGGTTCTACTGGCCTTAGAAGATGGCTCTGCTTTGTCAAGAAAAGTACTGGTTCTTTTTGTGGTGCAAAGGTTGGAGCCGCGGTTTCCTCAAGCTTCTAAAACTAGCATTGGGCATGTTGTTCAGCTCCTTTACAGAGCCTCCTGCTTCAAGGTATGAATCTAAATTAAAAGTTCTGCTTGAAAGGAAACATTATCCTTTCCCTAAATTTAATAAAGTTGCCTATACCTTTACAGAATATCTCAGGAATTTTTCTTTTATATAAAGAATATAGATCATACATTATTGAAGTTGAATCTTGTTTTTTTTTTTTTTTTCCCATTCTTTTCAGTGCTGGGGTTGGAACCAGGGCTTTATGCATGCTAGGTAAATGCTCAACTACTTCGCTACATCCCTAGCCCTAAATTTTCTACATGGGTATTGAAAAACATAGACCAAACCAAGACTTACAGATTTTTATATTGAAGAGACTAATCTGCTGGGTCAATGTTTCACTAACATTATAAACAGAATTGGTCTAAAGAAAGTTATTTGAGCACAAACAAGTTTTCTTGAAGATTTGTTCCTCTACATATGCAATGGAGTTGTTGTTGCCATTTCAGTTTCAGCATGTGTGGTAAAGTTGGACATATTATTCTCTTATATCCCAAGTTAAATCAACACTACCTCAAACATAGGTATTGGCGCCTGCTATATTTATTATTCCTCTGTTTTGTTTTCCTAACATCTTAAAATCAAGGCATAAATAGTGGGCTTAGGGGTATAACTTAGTGGTATGGCGTTTGCCTACCAGGCATAAGGCCTGGGTTTAGTTCCAGGCCCCCCCCCCCACAAACACACACAAAGAGATGGATATTTAAACAGTAAATTAAAAAATTAAAAATATTGGAAGCGAGGTGTGGTGGCCCATACCAGATTTGGAGGCTGAGTCAAGAGGATCACAACACAAGTTCTAGATCAGCCCCAACAATTTAGTTAGAATCTATCTCAAAAAAACAAAAACGACTGGTGATATACTTTAGTAGTAAAATGCCCATGAGTTCAATCCGCAGTAACTCCCCCCAAAATTTGAAAACCAATGTTTTCTACTTTAAGCATTCCTCTTAGGAATGTGTGTTCATATTACTGTGTTCCAGCTGTACTCTTTAAGTATCTTCTAAATTTTCATTTGAAAAGTTTTTTCAAGCTGTGAGATAATTTGTTAGTACCATACAGCTCCAGGACTTTATTTATTTATTTTTTAACTTTTATTTTTGGTATTGACAGAGGTTTATTTAGGAAAGTAGATACATAGTCAAAGGAGAATGGGAGCAGTCTCAAGAAAGACTCTACTTTTGGGGTAAAGCAAGGAATACACATTCAAGCAAGAATGTGGGCTACTCCAGAAGGAGAAAAAGCCCTGCTCAAGTGTTTTGAGAGTTGACTCTGGGGAATCAGTGTGTCATATAGAAAGCAAATTTTATCTTTTAATGAAGGTTAGCCTGTTTTGAGAGTTCTTTCTTTCTTTCTTTCTTTTTTTGTTTTTTGTTTTATTTTTTGAAACCCTTTATTTAGTTATTTTTATATATGACAGCAGAATGTATTACAATTTATATTATATAGAGAGCACAATTTTTCATGTCTCTGGTTTTATATAAAGTATATTCACACCAATTCGTGCCTTCATATATGTACTTTGGATAATGATGTCCTTCACATTCCACCATCATTTCTAACCCCCTGCCTCCTCCCTTCCCCTCCCACCTCTCTACCTCCTAAGCTCCTTCTCCTATGTTTTTCCTCCTACTCCTCCTATGCTCCCCCTCCTTACCCCACTATGAATCAGTCTTATATCAGAGAAAACATTCGGCATTTGTTTTTTGGGGATTTTTAACTTCACTTAGCATTATCTTCTCCAACTCCATCCATTTACCTGCAAATGCCATGATTTTATTCTTTTTTTTTTTTTTTGCTGAATAATATTCCATTGTATATATGTGCCACTTTTTTTTTTAATCCATTCATTTACTGAAGGGCATCCAGGTTGGCTCCACAGTTTAGCTATTGTGAATTGTGCTGGTTTAAACATTGATGTGGCTGTGTCCCTCTAGTATGCTTTTCTTAAGTCCTTTGGATATAGACCAAGGAGAGGGACAGCTGGGTCAAATGGTGATTTCATTCCCAGTTTTCCAGGGAATCTGCATACTGCTTTTCATATTGGCTGCACCAAATTGCAGTCCCACCAGCAATGTATGAGTGTACATTTTCCCAACATCCTCACCAACACTTATTGTTGTTTGTCTTCATAATAGCTGCCATTCTGACTGGAGTGAAATGAAATCTTAAGAGTAGTTTTGATTTGCATTTCTCTAATTGCTAGAGATGTCGAACATTTTTTCATATATTTGTTGATTGATTGTATATTCTCTTCTGAGAAGTGTCTGTTCATTTCCTTGGCCCATTTATTGATTGGGTTATTTGGGTTTTTTTTTTTTTGGTGTTTAGCTTTTTGAGTTTTTTATATACCATAGAGGTAGTGCTCTATCTGTGTGAGGGGTGAAAATTTGCTCCCAAGATGTAGGAGCTCTATTCATAGATTGTTTCTTTTGCTGAGAGGAAACTTTTTAATTTGAGTCCATCTCATTCTTGATTTTAATTCTTGCACTGTAGGAGTCTTATTAAGGAAGTTGGGGCCTAATCCGACATGATGAAGATTAGGTCCTACTTTTTTTTTTTTTTTTTACAGAGTCTCTGGTTTAATTCCAAGGTCCTCGCTTTGAGTTGAGTTTTGTGCATGGTGAGAGATAGGGGTTTAATTTCATTTTGTTGCATATGGATTTCCAGTTTTCCCAGCACCATTTGTGAAGAGGCTATCTTTTCTCCAATGTATGTTTTTGGCACCTTTGTCTAATATAAGTTAACTGTAATTATGTGGGTTAGTCTCTTGTGTCCTCTATTCTATACCATTGGTCTACCTGCCTGTTTTAGTGGGAGTGTTTTCATACATGTGTGTGTATGTATGTGTGTGTGTGTGTGTGTGTGTTTACACACTCACACACACACACACACACACACACACATATTTGGTCTTTGAGCCCATGAACTGTGGTAGAATGTAATTTATTTTTTAACTAATGGCTTGATTTTCATCTTTCTGTGGATTTTCCTAACAAAATATAGATTGGACTTTATTTCTTTGTAATGAGAATGGAATACATATTTTAAATTAATATCAGTGTGATCTGGAATCCTGACTACAATATTCTGGGGTTTTTTTAGGTGGGAGGAAGGAAACAGAATTTTCCACTAGAATATTAGGTGTCTTTATGAAAAAAAAAAAAGTTAAAGCTAAAATCTGTAAATGATCTTAGGCTAAAGTTAATTATTTTATTTTGATTTGTTAAACCATTAGTCTAAGTACAGCTTGATATAAAATGTGACTTATTGGGAGTGATAACATTTGTACTTAAGTCAGTAAGTTAAAAAAATGAGTTTTTTATATTTATTTACTTTTTAGTTGTAGTTGGACACAATACCTTTATTTATTTATTTTTATGTGGTGCTGAGGACTGAACCCAGGGCCCCACATGTGCTAGGTGAGCGTTCTACCACTGAACCACAACTCCATCCCTCGTTGCTTTTTTTATTATTTAAAAATATTATTATCACCTGGGCATGGTGGCAGATACCTGTAATCCCAGCAACTTGGGAGGCCGAGGTGGTAGAATCGCAAGTCCAAAGCCAACCTCAGCAATTTAGTGAGGCACTAAGCAACTCAGTGAGACCCTGTCTCCAGATAAAATACAAAAAGGGCCGGGGAAATGGTGAAGTGGTTAAGCATCCCTGGGTTCAATCCTAGGTAAACTGCCTCTCCCCTGGTCCCACGCGCGAGGGCACACATGCACACGCATACATGCATACATACATAATTATCAACATTATGATTATTCTAGTCTAGCATCTCAAACTTTACACTTGGTTGTGGCCCATTTCATAGAACTACTTAGATAATTGAGCCAAGTACAAATTAGTAATCTTTAGAATCACATCAGCATCTAAAGTTCCTCAAGTTATCGGTACCACATAGTTCAGTGTCAGGCAAGTCCCTAGAGTACTGCTTTTTAGAATAATTGTCCTCCTGTATATCTTTTCTTTTCAAAAAGATATACGTACACACAGATATGTATTAAGTTTTATCCAGTCTTTGAATTTCATTCTCATATATATCCTTTCTTTCTGGAAGACCTAGCAGAAGATTTTGACATTTCTGTTGGAGCATGTTTTATAAGCAAAATGGCATATTACATTTTAATCTTGGTGTTGTTGCTGGAAGAAACTTTTTACATTTGAAATTGTTATCTGTGTTTATATAAAGTATAAACTTATTTCTTTACCTCATTATGAGATTAACTGTTTCTTACTAGGTCACCAAACGTGATGAAGACTCTTCTCTGATGCAGCTGAAAGAAGAATTTAGAACTTATGAAGCTCTGCGACGAGAGCATGACTCCCAGATAGTACAGATTGCTATGGAAGCAGGCTTAAGGATTGCACCAGACCAGTGGTCCTCTTTGCTTTATGGAGACCAGTCTCACAAATCTCACATGCAGTCCATTATTGACAAGGTAGAGCCTCTTTTGTCCTTTATGTTAGACTACCCTTAGAATTTTGATATTTTATGATTTATGATTTGGTAATTCATTTACAATATTGAAGTGAATATTGCATGTCAGGCTTTTTGTAATTTGTATCCAGTGTGGCTGTGTCATGTTATAACTAGTCACATCAGAATATCAGTTTGTTTATCTAAGTATTTGATTAGTGTTAAAATGCTTTATCTAGTACTCTCCCACATTGCTTTGGGGGGAGGGGTCTCTGGTCTTTTATTTTGTCATTGCCTCTCTCCCTTTGTTATTCTCTTTTGAGTTTTGATCACAGGATTAGTTAAACCCACTTTCTAAAAATCTTTATTGTCTTTCTTTAGTATCCAACTGACTGGTTATATTAGATCTGTGTATTGTGGTTTCTTATGATTCTTAGCCAGAATAATAATAATGAAGCTACTACCATTCTAAGGTAGATCAGATTTTCTTGTTTCTATTTTATCTATTGTTTATTAGGATAAAAAGACCATTCAAGTAGATGTAAATGTTAGATCAGGCTCATTATTTGTATCTGATGCTAAAAGCTATATTTCTCTTAAAATTAGAGTGATACAAGGGGCTGGGGTTGTAGCTCATTGGTAGAGCACTTGCCTGGCACATGTGAGGCACTGGGATCCATCCTTGGCACCACATAATTAATTAATAAATAAACAAACAGATGAATGTGTTGTATCTATCTACAACTAAAAAAAAAAAAATTAGAGTAATACTAGAACTGTTTGTTGTAATTCATAATGAAATTTATGAAAGTGCTATTAAAAAGTCTTAAAGCAGCATGTAAAACATACTATAGTATTTAAATAATAATATTATCTTTTAATATTTCACCTTAAATACTTATAATTCCAGAAATGATTGCCAGTTCTAGAGCCTACCGTACATTTAATTTAGAGTAATAGAGTCAAACTAATAAAATAATAAAATAATAACACTAGTTGAAACTTAAAGGTTGATATGTGCCTAGGTTAGAATGGAGCTTGTATTTGAAGTTAAGCAACTGACTGGTTATAATTTATTGAAACCTTAATAATGATCTCTTTAAAGTAGTTGCTTTCCACCTCTGAAGAAAAACTTAGCTTACTTTTCAAAAGATTTTGCAAATAGGTTAAACTTTTTGTCTCAGTTGAACATATAATTAGGCATAGGTCCTAGAAGAATTTTTTCATATCCTGCTTTAAATTGAAAATCCAGAGATCTTTGTACAACAAAATGGTAAGCAAAATTTGTAATGTATTTCATATCTTGTCATTTTATAGAGCAATACATAATATAGAACTTTTTGTAATAATGGAATTGTTCTTTGTATATACTGTTCATTATGTTGATCATCAGCCCCATATAGCTGTTAAGCACTTAATTTTTCAGTTTTATTTGTTGTTGTTGTTTTATTTTTTGGTTATGGGGATTGAAACAAGGGCCCCACACATATTAAGCAAATGCTCTGCCACTGAGCTATATCCCCATCTACTGCTAAGTACTTGAAATGTAACTTGTGGAACAGTTACATTTAAAATTAAATAAAATAAATTATTTTATTTAATTAATTTAAACTTAAATTGCTAAATATGATAGCCAAGCTATCATACAGTACAGTACAGATATAGAATTTATTAGAAATGTCCCCCCAAAGCACTAATTCCAATAAATTAATGGAGAGAGAAACAGGAATTAACAGTTCACAAAGAGAATACATCAAGAATGGGCAATGTGGCACATGACTTAATCCAAGCACCTTGGGAGGCTGAGGCAGGAGGATTGCAAGTTTTAATCCAACCTCAGCAATTTAGCAAGACAACATCTCAGAATAAAAAAGGACTGCAGATGTGGTTTATACAATAAATAGATAAACAAATAAATAAATATATTACCAGCAATAATGATTAAAGAAATATACGTTTAAAATAGTGACATACCAAGTATTGCCCGTTAAAGTTTGTGTGTGTATACTCACACATATATACTCTCATAACATTGCTGGTTGTTTGTAAAGTAAACATTATAGATTGTTGTGGGAAGCAATTTGTCAGTGAATAAAAACCTATAAGCCAGGGACAGTAACACATTTTATTCCCAGTGATTGGGCGGCTGAAGTAAGAGGATCACAAATTCAAGGCCAGCCTCAACAATTTATTGAGGCCCTTTGTAACTTATCGAGACCCTACTTGGAAAAAAAAGGTGGGGGGCTGTGCATGGAGCTCAGTGATAAAATACCCCAGGATTCAACCCCAAACCAAAAACCTATAAAATACTCTTATCCTTTGAATGTGCTATTGCCAATAAATTTTTGTTTTTGTTGTTGTTTTGGTACTGGGGATTGAACTCAGGTTGAACACTGAGCAACATCTCCAGCCCTACATTGTATGTTTTATTTAGAGACAGGGTCTCTCTCACTGAGTTCCTTAGTGCCTCTCCATTGCTGAGGTTGGCTTTGAACTCATGATCTTCCTGTCTCAGCCTCCTGAGCCACTGTGATTATAGGCATGCACTACCACAGCTGGCCCAAATAATTAATTTTAAGGAAATAGTAAAAAATTTGAAAGAGTTTATAATCTCAGGAGTATTATTTGCTACATTATTTAAATGCAGAAAATAGGGGAGTGATTAAAGAAGATTTATAAGCTCAGAACACTAACGTAGCCCTAAAATTAGTTGAGAGGAAAATCCTCTTCAGCAGATACATAGCATTTAATTTCTTATTAAAAATGAAAGTGAGTCAAATGTGGTGATGCACTTGTAATCTCAGCTATTCCAGAAGATGAAACAGAAGTATCGCAAATTCAAGGTCAACCTCAGCAATTTAGTGAGACTCTGTGATAAAATAAAATAAAAACGGACCAAGATTATGGCTCAATGGTAGAGCACTTGCCTAGTATGCATGAGGCACTGGGTTCAATCCCTGGCACCACATAAAAAATAAAAACAAATGTGGTGTGTGTGTGTGTGTGTCTCTCTCTTTCTCTCTCTCCTCTATATCTCTCTCCTCTATATCTCTCTCTCTCTCTCTCTCTCTATATATATATATATATATATATATATATATATTTTTTAAAAATAAATAAAAGAATGAAACAGACTGGGGATGTAGCTCAGTGAGTGCCCTAGTGCCTTAATACCACCAAAAGAAAAAAAAATCAAAACTTAAATGTTATTATTTATTAAGTCTTGGTGATGGAATACATTAGATATATTTCTCTGAAATGGTTTATGATAAAAATGGCTAGCAATCTAAAAATGCGTCAGTTATAGTATTAAGCCAAAATAAATATATAAATAGCTATGTTTTTTAATTATAATAAATTATTTAAGTATGTTTTTAAAATTATAATAAGCTTTGGTACATATATTAAGAATTAAATAAAGGCATGTCAGGATTCTAAGGATAATCGTATTATTTTCCTTTTTTTTTTTTTTAATGTATGCTGTTTAAAAGATTACCTCTTGAAGAGTGACCATTTTCAGGAGGAAAATTCTCATCGAAGTGTTTTCATTTATCTAGAACCCTCAATTACTATTACAAAATCAGGGTGGTAGTGTTTTCAAATTAAAGAGATCATGTTATGCCCACCTGAAGTAGATAATGTGAGAATGTGTCTCATTAAACTTTTGGGACCTATACAACCTGAGTGCTTCCAAGAATCCCAAACTAATATAAGATTGTTTGATCTGGTAGAGTTCTTGAAATTGTTTATTCCATTTAACAGAAGAGCTTCTGATGTTAGTAAGATTTATATTCAGTGTCATGATCTTAGACCCTGTAGACTGTATTTCCAAATTTTAATTATTTAGAAGGACCCCCTTAGAGCCAAAATAACACACCATGCTATGAAAACCAAAGAGCCAGGCACGGTGGTTCGTGATTATAATCCCAGTGACTTAGGAGGATGAAACAGGAGAATCACAAGTTCGAGACCAGCCTCAGCAACTTAATGATGCCTCAAGCAACTCAGTGAGACCCTGTCTCAAAATTAAAAAGTGCTAGAAATGTAGCTTGGTGGTAAAGAGATTCTGGGTTCAATCCCCAGTACCAAAAAATAATTTAAAAAAACAAAAACAATGGTACTATGAAATTGATAAATTAAGAAAGGTCCCACATTTGAAGAATGTGTAAGCAGAAGGAATAGTGTTTTATACCACATGCTTGTTTATACCCTATTTAAAACATTGTGGAGATAATGAGGAGTTTGTTTAGGTAATAAGTAATTCACTCTGGCCAAAACATATAAGGTATGTGAATAAGATAAATTTCAGAAATTTCAAAAACATCTATGAGTTGTAAGTAATCTTTATTTTATAAGAAGTATATGGTCTCTGAGAAAGTTAATATTTATATTTTTTAAGTTGCAGACCCCAGCCTCTTTTGCTCAGAGTGTTCAGGAACTAACAATTGCTCTCCAGCGGACTGGAGACCCAGCAAACTTGAACCGACTAAGACCCCATTTGGAACTATTAGCAAACATTGACCCAAGTCCAGGTAAACCCAAAGGAAACTAATGAACTGTATCTTATGTGTGTCCTCAGCTTGATTGTTCATTTGTCTTTTGTTACATTCCTCTAGAATTTCCCAGAATATTTTTTCAAGATCTTTTCTATAGTATTCTTTTTGTCCCAAATCTTCTTTCTTATTTCACTTAAAAGAATATTTATTTGACACTTTCATTTACTTAATGATTAGCTATGCTAATTGCTTCACCACGAAAATAGATCTCTTTAGGCTCCTTTATATTTCTTCTTTCTTCTATCACAAAATTGTGCTGTATTTTACCTTTCTCACCTGTGCCAAAACTCAATATTCTATATTCTTAGTTGGCATTTTCTTAATCTCATTTTTGCCTCTTCCTTGATACTTTGCTCATTAATTTTCTCTTTTTGGGTATCTTTATTTTGTCAGCCTTTTCCTATATTCTGTTTCTTGACATGAAAATATACCCAAGCTTAATTTTTTACCTAATGTTTGCATCTAAGCTATTTTAACTTGTGTTTATCACAGTGTTTATTCCTACTACTGAACTAAAACTCTGTTAATATTTGCTAGAAGTTTCCAGGTCTCTAATTCCAAAGACTTCAGACCTTTAAATTTGTCTTCAGTATTTAATAATGTTGAACACTTCTTTGGTATAGAAACTCTTCTGACCCTTATATTTCTGCAGTGTCATGTTCTCGTTTGTCTTGAAAGCTGCTTCTGTCTTGATTTGTACCACTCTTTTCCCTCCTATCCACAAACTTGTAGTCGAATTGTGCTCTTGGAACTTTGTATTCTCTGCATGCTTTGTTGATGATGGTTGTTGGCTTTTAGCATCAGGGTATTACCTCTTCATAGAAATAGACTTCCATATATTTCTATCACTGTTATCTCTTCACTCCAAATCCATTTCCCAAAAACTGCTCTGTTTCAAAGTAAGATCATCTTCATTTGATGACTGCTCTTCCTCCTGTTTCCTCACTAACATTCTCTGATGTACGTAACCTTAAAAACCTTAGTCTTCTGTCTTGCTGCGTACCTTTTCTTTCACTTAACTGTACATATCATTTCAGACAACAGGATCTATTTGTTCTTCTTTTATAAGTTTCTCTATTCCACGCCTATTATTGCACCTTAGTGAGATGAGAACCTGGTTCCTTTTCTCTTAGACTGAATGGTTATAACTTTGTATCCTATGAATTCTTCCAATCCAGTGAAGTACTTAAGTGCTGCAAACTGGAACTTATTCCACACTCATAAACTTTCACTTATACATCATTGCTTTCAGAGGAATATTTGGAATCCTCTTACCTTTTTTTTTTTTTTAATACATTTTTTAGTTGTAGGGCTTGGGATATAGCTCACTTGGTAGAGTGCTTGCCTTGCATGCGCAAACCCTGGGTTCAATCCCCAGCACACACACACACTCACAAACACACACATAGACACACACACACACAAAGGTAGATGGACACAATACCTTTATTTTGTTTATTTAGGGTTTTAAAAATTATTATTTTGGGCTGGGGATGTGGCTCTAGAGGTAGCATGCTCGCCTAGCATGCGTGCGGCCCAGGTTCGATTCTCAGCACCACATACCAACAAGGATATTGTGTTCGCCGATAATTAAAAAATAAATATTAAAAATTAAAAAAAAATTATTATTATTTTTTTATTTGGAGGTGGACAAAATACCTTTATTTTGCTTATTTAGTGTTTTTTTGTTTTGTTTTCATGTGGGGTCGGGGATTGAACCCAGGGACTTGTGCATGCTAGGCAAGTACTCTATCGCTGAGCCACAACCCTAGCCCCTTATCTTACTTTTTTAAAGCAGCCTTCTTTTGCAGATATACTTCCAAGATTGCTCAATGAAACCACATCAAATCTCTTCCTAGAATATACAGTAAGGATGTTGTGGCTCAATGGTAGAGTGCTTGCCTGGCATGCATGAGGCACTGGGTTCGATCCCTGGCATCACATAAAAAAATAAACTAATAAAATAAAGGTATTATGTCCATCTACAGCTAAAAAAATATTTTTTTAAAAAAGAATATATAATAAGTTTTTTTCCACTTTTTTGCTTTGATCATTCTGAGCAATTAAGCGAAATTCCACAAGCTCTTACCACTATATTAGCCTCTCTATATCTATGCCAGTATATTCTGTTGTTTTCGTATAATTGTAGATAAGCTGTTCATTGAACTAAAGCCACCCTTTCTCATCGTGCACTAGCATCACCTTGACAAGCATATTCTACCAGTGTCCTTTTTCTGATATCATTAGTTTTCCTTTATTAGAGTACTTCTATCAACATTTAAATACAGTTATTTCTCTCATCTTAACTCATTTTTAGCCCCTTTTTCCACCTACCTAGAAATGTTTTTTACCTTTTTAATAACACTTTGTTTCTGGGAATTAAACGTAGGGCTTACTCTACCACTGAGCTGTGTCACCAGCCCTGATGCCACTGTCTTGAACTCAATCCAGTCGGGCATTTTTCTCTACCATTCTATCTAAACTTACATTATCAAGGTCACAGTGACTTCCCTGTGACCAGTTCCAGAGTTCAGTTCTCAATTCTTGTATTTGACCTATCCATAGCATCTATCATTACTCTTTATTGTCTTTTCCTTGAAATGCTTTTTTCTTAGCTTCCATGTCACCACATTCACCTAATTTCCTTTTTACTTTATTAGGCTGTCCTCAGCATTTTTTCTGTTGATTTCCAATCTATAGTTGATGACTCTTGGGGTAGTCTCAAAGTTTAATCATTGCACCTCTTCTCTTTTCTACTTACATCCAATCCTAAGACAATATCAGCAAGTCTCATATGTTTAAATATCATTTATATGGTTCACAAATTTATTCTTGTTTCATCAATTCTGAGGCCTACCTTTTTTTCTGATATTAGCATTTCTGAAATTATACAGTGATATGTTTCTCTTTTGGTGCCATATAAAGTAGTGTAGACATTATAACTGATTGTCTTTTAAAATCTGAAGTAGAGTTCATCTAGCTCAGAATTTTTTCCTAGCCTGTGTGTGTGTGTGTGTGTGTGTGTGTGTGTGTGTGTGTGTGTGTGTTTGTGTGTACCCAGCCACCATAATGAGTCTTAATTAGTATTTTAAACTTTAAAAATGAGCTTCTCCCCTTATCTTGTTAGTGGCAACTCTGTTCTTTGATTTGTTTGGTTCAAAACCTCAGAAAGATCCTTACCTTCTCTTTATCTCATAGTGTATATGTGATCCATCAGCTAAATCAGTAGGCCTTACCTTTAAATTTCATTTAGAATCCACAAACTTCTAATACCGTCCTTGCTACAATCTTTATCTCTCCTCATAGATTATAGACTAGCCTCCTGTTTTTTGTATGACATACCACAAGAGCCAAAGTGATCCTATTAATTTTCTGCCCTGAAATTTTTCAGTGGCTTTCCCTCACCCAGTGTAAAAGTTAAAATCTAGCCCATGACCTATAAGTCCTCACATGGTCCGGTCTTTCATTATCTTTCTCCAGCCTTGCTAGTATGGAACCTGCCAATCACACTCTCACATCAGGGTCTTAGCAGTTTTTCTTCCCTCTTAACTAGAAATATTTCCCCTTAGTATTTCTATTAAGACACTCTGAAACCCTTTTTACAGGTCTTTTACTAAATGTAGCCTCCTGAAGGAGGCCTCCTCTGGCTTTTCTGAAAGTTTATATAACTCGCTGCACTTCTTTTCTTTGTTCTCTTTTTTCAGTTTTCATCATTTCCTAAAAACTCTGAGCCAGGTACAGTGGCACATGCTTGTAATCCCAGAAGCTCAGGAGGCTGAGCCAGGAGGATTTAAGTTCAAAGTCAGCCTCAGCAATTTAGCGAGGCCCTAAGCATCTTAGCAAGAGCCTGTCTCAAGTATAAAAGAAGAATAAAAAAAAGAGCTAGGGATGTGACTCATAGGTTAAATGCCCTGGGTTTTAATCCCCAGTATCAAAATAAATAAGTATAAAATTGAAAAATGGTGGAGCAAACACAGAAAATGCTTGCAATATAATGTTAAGTGAAAAAAAAATTAAAACTCTGTTTGATTATTTATTATCTGGATCATTTCCTTGAATATAATGGGAATTTTTATTTTATCACTACTGCTTCTCTAGCAACTAGAACAATACTCAGGCATGGTAGATGTTCCCAAAAATAATTTTTGAATAGCTGTTCTCTGTGTTCTCCTTTTTCCCCCCTATTGAAATTCCATTTGTTCTTCAAAGCCCCATTCAAATGTTGTCACCAAGAAGTCTTGCATGATGGCTTCAGCAAGAAGTCATGTCTAAAAATGTGTTTGCACTTGATTTTGTATTTTTTTTTTAGAGATTATTTTATATTTAGCTTTATGGTTAATATATAATAAAAATCTGGCACTAACAAATACTAAATGAAGACTGTAGCTGTGCTTTTATATAGTTGCTTTATCTATTAAGCTTATTAAACATTTTGTTTATCCTATACCTGAATTATGTAAAACTTCAAAATAAACATACAAATTGGCTGACTCAAGGCAGTCCATAGTTAACTTTTGTGTGAACTCCCCTGTGTTGGTCTGTATAATGTACTAAATCTGTTAGGTGCCAACATTTAAAAACTGTTAAATTTTGTGGCTGGGGTTGTGGCTCAGCGGTGGCGCGCTTTCCTGGCACGTGTGATACACTGAGTTTGACCCTCAGCACCACATAAAAATAAGTAAAACAAAGGTATTATGTCCAGCTACAACTATTAAAATACTTAAAAAATATATTTCAAAAAACCTGTTTTTAAGTTTTGACTAGGGGTATAATTAAGTAGTAGAGAGCCCTTGCCTAGCAGGTGCAAGGCCTTGGTTTCAATTCTCAGCATTTAAAAAACAAAAAATTGATAAATTTATGAATCTCAGATTTCAACGTCCCTGGGAAACTCTAGGACCAACCTTGCATCTTTACATAAGAACAACTAGTTGAAGACGCTGAGTGGTAACCATACATTTATATCAGAGATATGCTCTCCAGTCAGTGCAGTCCATGTCACACTCTGTGGTCTGTTCAATACTAAGGTTCTAATGACAGGTGCCTTTTTTTTCTGGCTTCCTTAATTCCTTTGTTACCTTTTTTTTTTTTTTCCCTGTGGTAATTTTAGTTTGTAAACACATCTTTTAAAAGAATATGTCCATTCCTTTAAAAAGGATGTTAGGTGAATAAGTTATTTGAAAGGCTGCATTATGTTTGATTTCAACTTCTTTATTAATATATTGGACCAAATATTTAATAATATTATAGTTAAAGAAGATTTTTGTTGTCATTTGTTCTATAGATGCTCCTCCTCCTACTTGGGAACAGCTAGAAAATGGACTGGTAGCTGTGCGTACAGTTGTACATGGGCTGGTTGATTATATACAGAACCATAGCAAAAAAGGAACAGATCAACAGCAGGTAAGATGCAGCTTAAAATTTAAAATAAGTCACCATGCATATACCTTGAAACTACTGTGAGTAAATCTACAGATATGAAGTCAAAAAGATAACATGAATATTTTAAGACTCTGACAATCAAAACCATGTAAATTATAAATTGGTGTGGTTAGCAGCCAATTTACTGGTTTAGCCTAGTAATTTTTTCCAACATCATTAAGCTAATCCTTACTGATCTGATGTTGCACTGGTTCACTTTTCACATCAAATATATCAACATTTTATGAAGAAAGCATATTCCGTGCTAAACCTTATTCCATTTAAGATTATTCTCTGGACTTTGTATTATATATTAATTTGAGAGTAGGTATTACTGCTATATTAAGTAATCTAATACTGCTCATACAGCTGTAGATGGTTTTCCTATATTATTATATTGCAGTGAAAAGCCTGTGAATTTAATACTCTTATTAATTTCCCTGACTTAGGTAAATATTAAAAATAGATTATGCAATCTATCTTTTTCCCCTGTGGAAAGGCAAAAAATATCAAAAGTAGCCTGGGTATGATTTTCCCATTTATTCTAAACACAGATAAAGAGCTTTATTTTATGACTAAGAAATTTTGAAAAACCTAAAACTTTCAGTTGCTTTCTATTTCATTGGCTATCACAAAGAATATAGCAAAAACAATGAGACAAGCTTTTAAGGTCTGCCATTAGTGATAAAATATGTTAAACTTGGTTCACTTTTGTGTTATATTTGATATTAACCTTGAAATCCATCCTAATGCCTATCCTCAAGTTGTAAATAATAAGCTTAATGTGTACCTTTGGAGAATTTTAAGTCATTGGCATATTCGTCTGCAAGTCACAAATTGGTTATTGGACCTTTTGTACATTTTGTAGTATTTTATAGGAAATGTATATCTGTCTGAACATTGCACAAAACAAATATTAGAAGAGAGTTTATACATTCACAAGTCTTAAATTCCATTGGTTTGTTTTTCTGTTATAAAACTTGGAAGAAAGATTATAAAGTTGCCCTGAGGTTTAAGAATTTATATGATGCCATGTGTTTGAGAATTAACATCAACATTTCAGAAAAATTAGAACTTATATATTTTTTTTTAATATTTATTTTTTTAATTGTAGTTGAACATAATACCTTTATTTATTTTTATTTTTATGTGGTGCTGAGGATAGAATCCAGGTCCTCGCACATGCTAGGTAGGCGCTCTACTGTTGAGCCACAACCCAGCCCAGGCTTTATATATTTTTAACTCTCTGAGACTTAAGGAAAAATAACTTGAGAACTTTGTCTCTGGATAATTTAGATGAATATGGGGATTAATCTTATTCATCTAGATTGTGAAAATCCTAAACTGGCAAAATGGAATTTGCATTTATTTTGGTTTTGTCTGATGTTTTGATTTTGGTCTTAGCCTCCACAGCATAGCAAATATAAAACATACATGTGTCGAGATATGAAGCAAAGAGGAGGATGCCCTCGTGGTGCCAGCTGTACATTTGCACACTCACAAGAGGAACTGGAAAAGTAAGTGTGAAAAGCATGAGACAGCCTTTGGAATAAGAAATAAGTAGAACAATGTGCTGACTTTGAGAAATAAGGAGAGTGGTTTCTTCAGCTTTCATATTAATTACATTGTTTCTACAGAGAAAACTATTTTGTGTTTAGGTTTATCTCAAAATGAATCATTTTTACTACAAAAAAATTAGAATGTTAGCAATTTTCATTAATTTTAGCTAATTTTTAATAATTGTATGATGTGTTACCTGTGGAAAATTTTGCCATTGGCTCAACTTCATAGTTTTTTGAAATTTCAAGGGCTGGATAATTACAGTGATGTTAAGTTTTCTAGCACACTAAAGAAAGAAAGACCACATTCTATCACTACCCTCCTTCCAGGTACTGGGGATTGAACCTATCAATGCTTTGCCACCGAGGAGTTACATTCCTATCCATTTTAATTTTTTATTTTGAGATGGGGTTTCATCAAGTTGTTGAGGGTTGCTAAGTTGCCCAGGCTGGCCTTGAACTTGTGATCTTCCTGCTTTAACCTCCTGAGTCACTGGGATTATAGGTATGAACTACCATGCCTGTCTTCTTTTTTTTTTTTTTTTAAATAAAGCTGGTATGACACACCAAACTTTGACAAAGATAACACAATGAAAGAAAATTTTAGGGGTTGGGAGTATAGCTCAGAGGTAGACACTCACCTAGCATACACAAGGCCCTGTTGGGTTCAATCTCCCAACACTGTAAAACCAACAAAAGAAAGGGAAAGAAAATGACAAAAATATTAATATTAAAAATCACTCCAAATAAAACAGAATTCAGTAATTCATTAAAATAGATTGAAGAAATAACATGATCATACCCAAAGATTGCAGAATTCATTTGAATAAAATCTAACGTCAATTTTAGATCAAAATCCTTTAATACAACAGTAGATACTTTGTATTATAGTATAATAACAGTATCATAGATACTTTCTCAGCCAGTTAATTAATTATATCTTAAAAGCCACCATGGTAGCATGATACATTTAATTAGTACAATAATAATTTCATCTTATTATTAAGTCAGTAAAAAAGGTAAGATTTTTCTCCTAGAAAGTTAGTTAGCATTCTGGGGTTTTCCTCTTTGTTGTTGTTGTTATTGTTGTTGTTCTGGTATTGAATCCAGAAGCCTTCTACCAATGAGCACACCCCCAGCCCTTTTTATTTTATTTTGAGACAGGGTCTCACTAAGTTACCCAGGCTGGCCTTAAACTTGGGATCCTCCTACCTCAGCCTCCTGAGTGGCTGGGATTATTGGTATGTGCCATTTCACCTGACTCTTAACATTCTGGAATTAGTAGCTGATATATGTAAAGTTACAAAATGAACCACTGTCATGTAAAATAAAAAGGAAAACATGTAGGCCCTGTTGGCCCTAGCATATACAAGGCCCTGTTGGATTCAATCTCCAATACTGTAAAACCTACAAAAGAAAGAAAAATTGAGTTGAGTATTGGATGGTGTAGGTAGTGGTAGAGCACATGTGCAAAGCACTAACTAGGTTGGATTCCCAGCACCATGAGAGAAAAAAGTTGAAATTACAGATCCCTTATAAACAGTAAGTTCTGTGAGATCCCAATTAAAATCTCAACATGGTGATTATTAAAGGCCCAACAAAATCATTCACTTGAAAAGAATAAATACATGCAAATAGGTAGGAAAATTATGGGAAAAAAAGTCTTCAAAAGAGACTAGATTAATAGTTGTTTTATAAGCTAAGATAAATATAAAAACTGGTATTGCATAGGAACAATAGCTTAGTAAAATGTAATAGAGAGCATCTAAAAAGAGTTTGAAAAACATAGGAACTTATGTGCTCAAGGTGACATTTTACATCAGTGACAAAAGATAATGGCTGTCTCTTTGAAAGATTCTTACCTGTCTTTGTACAAAACAATGAGTTTTTATATCAGTGTCTGTATAGACATGTCATAGGAAAAACACCATAGAGTACTGAAGTATTTTTGTTGTTAAATAGTCTTAAAGAAGGAAAGAATTTTTTTGTAGATCCATGAAGAAAAAATTTCTTAAAATTGATTACGTAAAAACTAAAAACAGATATGGTGTATACACACAATTTTAAAAAGAAAGTATATGCAGATCAGATATCCCTGACACAAAATGAGATACTGCAAATATTTAAGAGAGGAGCCAGTATATTTGTGAATCATGAATATAAATGTATTAGTCCTGACTTTTGTGTTGCTTTGACAAAATATCTGGGGCTGGGTTACTTGTACAGTGGTTTATTTGGCTCATGATTCTGATGGCTGGAGGTTCAAACAGCTTAGAGCAGGTTTTTTTATGAGGACCTTCCCAGTTGTGTCATAATATAGTGAGAAAGCAAAAACAGCCAAGTTCATGGGGTGATTTTACTTGATAACAATTCACTCTTGTGAAAATTGATCCATTCCACAAGACCAGCGTTAATACCTTGCAAGGGCAGTGTCCCTATGACCTAATTACCTTCTCCTTAAAGCTTTCACCACCACCCAGTATTGCCACCATTGGGACCAAACTTTAACACCCTTGGAGAGTACACTCAACCCGTAACCAATCCATAATGAATAGATGATTCACAGAACTAATGGCCACTGGATGTGTAAGCTGTACTTAGCCTCACTATTTATTGAAGAACTGCAAATTAAAGCTATTCAGTTTTTTAAATTTATTTATTGATATTAGATATTGAACCCAGAGGTATTTTAAACTGAGGTGTATCACTATCCCAACATGTATACTCTTTGGCCTAGCAGTTCTGTGTTTGATTACTCACATTAGGATGCAAGTTTGTGTATATAATTATCGGCTATAACATTGATTTAATAGCCAAAACCCCTAAAATTAACTGTATCATAAAGGAATATCCAAGATTAAATGCAAAAATAATGACTAATATATGACCCTGTTTTTGTAAATAATAATGTTATACACATAGGAATGTGAATACTAAGCTTGGTGTATAGGGCAAAAAATGTGTATGATGCTATTTCAAATTCTAAATGGTAGTTACTTCTTCCTAGAGACCACTCTGAGCAACCAATTCAGACCTTGTCTCAAAATAAAAAAGAGCTTGATATGTAGCTCAGTGGTAAAGTGCCCTGGGTTCAATCCCAGTATTTTAAAAAATGTTTTTCTGTGCCCTTGTTTTTTTTTTTTAACTTATGATATCTGCATAAATTTAAGCCATTATTTTGTATTGTTTACATTAACCTACTTTTAAAATAATTTCAGCTGGGGGTGTGGCTCAAGCAGTAGCGCGCTCGTCTGGCATGCGTGCGGCCCGGGTTCGATCCTCAGCACCACATACAAACAAAAGATGTTGTGTCCGCCAAGAATAAAAAATAAATTTAAAAAAATAAATAAATTCTCTCTCTCTCTATCTCTCTCTCTCTCTCTCTCTCTCTCTCTCTCTCTCTCTCTCCTCTCGAAATAAATAAATAAATAAAATAATTTCAGTTTTATGTAGGCACAAATAGCATCAGCATCTCTGTAGCACTTCTGATAAAAGTCAACATTTTCAGTTATTCAAATGTTTTAATGTTGTAAATTATTATTTTTTCACAATGTGCATTGGTTCTGTTTTTGTTTATTTGTGCTAGATATTGAACTCAGGTTGTACTCTATCACTTAAGCTATCCCTTTAGCCCTGTTTTATTCTTAATTTTTAATATAGGCTTACTGTATCTCAGGAATAAATTTGAGAAAAAGCTGAAGTAAAATGTTTTAAACTGTCTTCTCAAGATCTTTTTACCAGTAAGTTTTGGAAATAGAAATCTCAACAAATAGTAAAAGTCTTAATAAACTGACTTATAATGGTAAAATGCTGATGAGTTCATTCGAAGGAATTTTGTGCTCTATCAGTGTGTTTTGTTACCTAAGATTTTATGGCAAATATGTATACACACAGTTCTTGAGTTGATAGAGAGCCAGTGCTTTCAAGAGAGAATTTCTAAGGGCAAACACACACACACACACATTTTTGGTACTAGAGATTGAACCCAGTGTTTCCTGTCTACCACTCTGCTACATCCTCAGCTTTTTTCATTTTTTATTTTGTTAAGTTGCTCAGGCTGGCCTGGAACTAACCATTTTCCTACCTCAGTCTCTCACATTAGAATATAAGATTTTTAAGCCGGGCGCTGTGGCTCACACCTGTAATCCCAGCAGCTCAGGAGGCTGAAACAGGAGGATCGTGAGTTCAAAGCCAGCCTCAGCAACAGCGAGGTGCTAAGCATCTCAGTGAGACCCTGTCTCTAAAAGAAATAAAAAATAAGGCTGAGGATGTAGCTTACTGGTTAAGTGCCCCTGAGTTCAGTCCCTGGTACCAAAATAAAAAAGAAAGAAAGAAAAAATATTTTCAAATGCATTTTGTTCTTGGTTTTGCCTTGATATATATATATATATATGTATATATATATATTTTTTTTTTGGTTGTACCTTTGCTTTTTGTTATAGATTTCGTAAAATGAACAAACGTCTAGTTCCCAGAAGACCTCTGAGTGCCTCTTTGGGTCAGTTGAATGAGGTGGGCCTGCCTTCTGCAGCCATCCTTCCAGAAGAAGGTGCAGTGGATCTACCTAGCAGAAAACCCCCTGCTCTACCAAATGGAATTGTGCCAGCAGGAAATACAGTAACACAACTGATTCCACGGGGGACAGATCCCAGCTATGATTCTAGTCTGAAACCAGGGAAAATAGATCATCTGAGCAGTAGTGCTCCAGGATCCCCTCCTGACCTGTACGTCATTTTTCCTCAGTTTCTTCCTTTTAAATATAAAGCAGAAGAAGAAGGAAAGATTAATGTTTTAGTTAAAGAAAACGTTTTCTTTCTTTATTCTAGTAGTTTTTAAGAAATAGCATAGGTGTGAAAATGATAAAATTTGCAAATTTGGTAGAGGAAATGACTATTAGAATAAACCAGTTTATCAAATTGTGGCCATCTTGTTTTTACATTGAACAATTTATGTACATTAGAAGTATCTTAGAGATCTAAATCTTAGATTGTATAATCTTATTCCCTTAGGCTAGAATCTGTCCCTAAGAGTATTTCTGCCTTACCTGTGAATCCACATCCTGTACCTCCAAGGGGGCCGGCAGATCTGCCTCCCATGCCTGTCACCAAACCACTTCAGATGGTACCACGAGGTTCTCAGTTATATCCAGCACAAGCAGATGTTTATTATCAGGATCCTCGAGGAGCTGCCCCACCATTTGAACCAGCACCTTATCAGCAGGGTAATGGATGTTTCATTTATATCACTCACTTGTCTTAGGAGTTAAGAAAACTAGGCAGGTAAGAGTGATGATTTACATAGTGGCTTCCTTAAAACAAGTAATTGTGTTTTTACTTTGGGAAAAAATTGAGATTTTTATGATCAACTAAATAAACTACCTTAGTAACTATGCACAGTTATCTGTATTTTTCTAGACCTATAAAATATATATATATGAAAAACTAACATTGGTCCTTTTGGAATTTATTGTATATAATCAATAGTAAACTGAATAAAAAACTACTTATATGTATGATTAGTGTGTGTGTGTGAGAGAGAGAGAGAGAGAGAGAGAGAGAGAGAGAAGCTGACCAAAAAGGACATCATTGAGAACTTGAGTCAGAAAAACCCATGAAAAAATGCTTCAAATAGAGGTATTAGGAATGGAAAGAAATTTATGAATGGATTAGAAAGAGTCTAGAGTCATGGAAGAGTTAGAAAACTGTTGATCCTCTAGGCATGGTGGTGCGCTCCTATGATACCAATGACTTGGGAGGCTGAGTTAGGAGGATCACACGTTTGTGGCCTGCCTGGGCAACTTAAAATAAAAAGGGGTCTGGGGTTGTAGCTCAGTGGTAGAATGCTTGCCTCACATGTGTGAGGCACTGGGTTTGATTTTCAGCACCACATATCAATAAATGAATAAAAATAAAATAATGTCCATCAACAACTAAAAAAATAAAATAAAAAGGTTTGGGGATATAATTTGTGGTAGAGTACTCCTGGGTTCAGCCCCAGTACCCTCCCCACCAAAAAAGGTAAAGGTATGGAGAAGAAAGGGGATGACTAAGGTTTAATATTTACAGTACATTATAAAATGCTGAAAGATTTTAAAATTGAAGTGTTGTATCTCTGTCAGAGATACAACAGAATGAAATGCTATTATTTGTTAAATGGAGGCCTGGTATGCATACCTGTAATCCCAGCAGCTTGGGAATCTTGAGACAGGAGATCACAAGTTCGAGACCAGCCTCAGCACTTCAGCAAGGCCCTAAGCAACTTAGTGAGATCCTGTCTGAAAATTTAAAAAAACAAAAAATTCTGGAGATGTAGCCCATAGGTAAAACAACCCTGGGCTCAATCCCCAGTACCAAATAAATAAATAGGCAATAAAGATGTCCTTTTTTTCCTTTTCTCAAGGCTTTTAAATTTGAATCAGAAATGTCACCTCCTATACATTCAAGAGAATAATTTTTAATTGATATGACATTACTAACCAAAAAAAAAAAATGACAAAACTTGATTGATATCTTTCTTTTGACCAGGAAAAATCTAGCTATTTTTATTGAGCTGGCTAATGTGTAACTTTAAATATACTGGTACTAGTCAGGACCCAGTTGTAGATTACAGAAGTCATTCTAGCTATATTAAGCAGAAAGAGGCTTACTGCAGGAGTTTAATGCCCACGATATCCATGAACTATGGAAGCAGACTTAAGCTAGGTCTCCCAAGAATAAGTCCCAGAACTAGATGCTTATTGAATCTTTTACAATGAAAATACAGAAGTGGAAAACTTCTGTTCTAACTGCTACAATGAAATTGAAACCTACAACTGCAGCTTTATCCCAACTCTGGAACTAAGTAATAGTTACTAGATAGACACCAGCAAAATGGACTTTTTGTATGTTACCTCTCGTACCAGTAAATTCAGTTTCATATTCAGATCTGTAGTAGAAATGGAATTTCAAGGATTTCTGTAAAAGGAAACTTTTTGTTTTCCATTTTCAGTATTACATTAAGACAACACCAGAAAGAGGGTCAAACAGTAAGAACCAGTCTACTTTTGTAGATTATAAATAGCTTAGTTTTTTTTTTTCAGTGACATTTAAATTGTGTGGCTATGGGTGCATGGGCTGTTTGTATTAGGAATCAAACCCAGGGTCTCACACATGGTAGGCCTAAGGATAATTTTAGCTTCATATTCTCATAAAGCTGACCTAACAATGTAAGCAGGAGGGAAAACTTCTGAAGAAATAAGTGAATTATTAATGCTTCAGTGTTTCAGTATTTAAAATATGTGTTTGTGTATGAATGAAAATAGTTTGGCAAATTGTTGCCTTTGGTTCCTTTTCTTTCTATTATACAGGTATGTACTATACCCCACCACCATGTGTATCCCGCTTTGTTCGACCTCCACCATCTGCTCCTGAACCTGGTCCTCCCTACTTGGATCCTTATCCACCCTACCTCCAAGATCGTGTTATGAACTCTCAGTACAGCGCACAGCCACAACAGTACCCACCTATGTACCCACCTCACTATGATGGCCGTCGAGTGTACCCTGCTCAGTCTTATACAAGAGAGGAAATTTTCCGAGAAAGCCCTATACCCATTGAGATTCCACCTGCTGCAGTACCATCATATGTACCAGAGTCCAGAGAAAGATACCAGCAAGTGGAGGGTTACTATCCAGTAGCCCCTCATCCTACTCAGATCAGACCTTCGTATCCCAGAGTATGGTGTATTTTTTTTTTCCTCATTACATAGACTTAGTTTGTTTTTGGCAGTAATTCATTAATTTCTTGGCTATGCTGATAGAATTTGATCACTTATTTTGTATAAGAAAGTTGCTTTCCTTTTAAAAATTATTTTCATAATTCAAGTAGGGTTTTTTTTTAAGTATTAATGGGAGGTCTCCCAACTAATGATTCTTAGTTTGTGAATTTAGATGGTCTTAATAATTCCTGAATGGCATGAAGGTAAATACCTGTAATCCCAGTTGCTCAGAAGGCTGAGGCAGAAGGATTGAAAGTTTGAGTACAACCTAGGCAACTTAGTTTGACTCTGTGTCAAGATAAAACTTAAAACTAGAAAATGTAGCTCAGTGTTAAGAGTGCTTGTCTAGAGCAAGCAAGGCCTTAGGCTCAATCTCCAGTACCATGAATGAATGAATGAATATTTTGATTCTATTAGGAAATGATGGTCTCTGGCCAAGAAAAACAAACCTAAATTTAGCTTTTGGGAAACCTTGAGCATTTTAGTGCATTTCTTTTTCTTTAGTTTAAGTCAGTATTTCTGAATTTTACAGTGTGTATACAGGCTGCTTCTAATTTTAAATATATACTAAATAAACTGATGTGTTCTGAAATTCTCTGTCAATTTTAACTACTCTTTCCATTTTCAGGAGCCTCCATATAGCCGGCTTCCTCCTCCTCCCCCCCAGCCCCATCCTAGTCTAGATGAACTACATCGCCGACGAAAGGAAATTATGGCTCAACTGGAGGAAAGAAAGGTTATCTCTCCACCTCCTTTTGCACCTTCACCAACATTGCCTCCCACATTCCATCAAGAGGAAGTAAGCACATCTTTTTAGTTTTTATTAATTTTTCCTTTATCAGTTTGTGTGCATGTGTGTGTCCTGTTTAAATAATCTTTATATATTCCCAAGGTTATCTCCCTATTCCTAGAGTTATCAAGGTATTTGCTGTTTTCTTCTAAAGATTATTTTATTTTATACTTAGATGTATAATCCATCTAGAATCCATTTTTTTTCTTTTTTAATATCTTTGTTTTATTTATTTATGTTTTTATGTGGTGCTGGGGATTGAACCCAGTGCCTCATGCATGCAAGGCAAGCATTCAACCACTGACTACAACCCCAGCCCTTAGAATCAATTTTTTTTATATAAACTGTGTTGGAGACATGATCCTTTTGTGTGTGTGTGGTGTGTGTGTCTGTCTCTCTCTAAGGGTATCTCATTTATCCTGTACCATTTAATGAAATGAGCATCCTTTCCCCCTTGTCCTGCAGTTACCTTGTTATAATGAGGTGACCATTGATCTAATTGTCTTACACCAATACCATGTATCGGCCACCCCTACCACCTCCAGCCACATTCCTTTAATGTAGTTTTATTTATCATGTTAGCCAGTTGCAGCATGCACACCTGTAAACCATTGGCCCAGGAGGCTGAGCAGGAAGGTCCCAAGCAACTTGATGAGACCCTTTGTAAAATAAAAAGGGCTTGGGATTGTATATTCAGTGATAAAGTGCCCCTGGGTTCAATTCCCAGTACTGGGGAGTCAGGGAGAATTTACATAATTTCACAAAAATATTTGCTTCAGTTTTGATTAAGATTCATTGAATCTCTGAAGCTGTGCTGGAACATGTGGTAGCTAATCCAGGGGCTGGAGGTATATATCATTGGTAGAGTGCTTGCCTACCACTTAAGGCCCTGGGTTCAATCCCCAGAGCTGCCAAGAAAAAGAGGCAGGAGGAGACTCATCCAAAATGAAATGTGCTATAAGCACATTTTTTAGTACCAAAAAAAAATATTTTATTTTTTACTATCTGGATATATTGGGTTAAGTGAAATGCCTGTCTCTTTTTTTTTTTTTTTGTACCGAAGATTGAACTCTTCGGTACTAAACCACTGAGGGATATACCCAGCCCTTTCTGTATTGTATTTAGAGACAGGGTCTCACTGAGTTTCTTAGGGCCTCAGCCTCCCGAGCCTCTGGGATTACAGGTATGTGCCACCACGCCCAGTTGTGAAATGCATTTTTAAGATTAATTTTGATGGATGCAGTGGCATCTAGCAAATGGGAAAAATTATGCAGTTCAAGGCTTAGTCTCAGCAACTTGGTAAGACCCATTTCAAATTAAAAGGCAATAGGGGCTGGGGATATGGTCAAGTACCTCTGGGTTTAATTCCCTGTACCCCGCCCCCTTGCTAATTTTTTTTAAGATTAATTTTAACTGGTGGAGCTAGTGTGTTCAAGGCTGTGGGTTGTTTTCCAATACCACCCCAAAAAATTTAATTTCACTGTTTTTTTAATTATTATTTTTTAATGTGTCTACTAGAAATTTAAAACTATATATTTGAGTAAAATATATTTCTATAGAATAGTGTTGTTTTAGATCAATTTTGAAAGAAGTGACATCTTTAGAAATCAAGTTTCCATGAACATGATATCTCTCTCCATTTGTACAAGTGATTCCCCACCCCCCACCCGCGCCCCATGATCCAATGGAGAGTCTTGCAAGTGCCCTACCACTGAGCCACACCCTCAGCACTAACTAATGTTTTTAACATAGAGAAATTAAGTAGACTTTTGTGTATTCTGCTCTTTTGCAGGCTAAATTTCCTGACTAATTCTAATATTTGTTAATGGGTTCTTTTGGGTTTTCTGAGCACATAGTCATGTCCTCTGAATAATTACCAGCTGTTTCCTTTGTATTCCTTTTGTCTCTTGTTTATACTCCAGAATAATGTTGCATAGAAGTATAATAGCCGGTATTCTTTACTCATTGGTAATTTTTGAGTAGGTAACGCTTTTAGTAATTCACTATTATTATGTTTGCTCTAGGTTTTTTGGTAGAAGATCTTTATCAGATTAAGTTTCCATTTATTGTTTTACAATTTTTGTGTTTAGTAATGAGAAAATTAACAGGATGGTAATAAAGAAAAAAAAAAAGCAATACAGGTAGTCAAAGTTGGAAAAAAACAAGAGCCCTAAAATAAAGTTGCTTAAAACAAACGAACAAACCAAAAGCTGGTTAATGTAGTAGGCATGGTAGTATAAACCTGAAATCCCAGCAGCCGGGGAGGCTGAGGCAAGAGGATCTCAAAGTCAGGACCATCCTTGGCAACCTAGGGAAGACCCCATTTTTTCAAAATGGGCCAGGGAGGTAGCTCTGTGGTAGAGTGTCTCTGGGTTCAGTCCCCACTACTGAAACAATACCAAAAACTAATTAATGTACCATAGGACAGTAAACCATAACTTTGGATTTTACCTTCTTTGTATTTCTACAAAACAGTGCTAATAGTTATTGTGAATGTATGTTGTCTTGCATCTTTTTAATGTTTATCTGATCTGTAGTGATTTTTTTCTTGGTTGGTCTTGCTATGGATTTGTTCATTTTATTTGTGAAACAAAGCCAGCTTTTTGCTTTGTTGATCTTATTTATTTGTTTGTTTTGTTGTGTTGTTTTATACATAGTACTTAAGCTTATAGTTATATACATTTTTTGAAAGACAGCACATAGTGGTCATTTGGTAAATAATAACTGTTTATTTTATATTTTAATTTTCATTAAAATTAATAATGCCTCGTTGTTAAAGAACTTTATATAGAACTATCTTAGGACATAGAAAACTCTACATATTTAAGCTTCAGTTTTTATTATAAACAGCTTACATATAGTTGTACTAAATTCAAACATTATAGAAATACATAACATAGAAATAATTTTCCAAAATCCTGTTTTCTGTAGCTACTGTTAATTTGTTATGTATTTCATTTTCTTTGTGTTCCTATACTAACATTATTTTCTACTAGGATGATTTGATAATACATTTTGAGATTTTATGCCTGTGTTTTGCATTTTTTTGCTTACAGTTTATTTTTACTTAACTAGTTACTCTGTATGTTTATATATAAATTTATCCAATTCTTTTAACAGCTGCATAGCACATTATATTTGGGGTGAAAGGGTGTGCTTTTTAGTAGATAGTATGTTTTAAAAGCTAGCTGTTATACATGAAGTTTGAAGATGAAGGGGAAATATAAAGGGGAAATATAAATATAAATTTTTCAAAAGTGGTAGGGCAATCAAAGGGAAAGATGTTTTGAACAACAGAAACAGAAATTGTGGTTGAAGTGAGTATTGATGAGCACATAGCCTTGCTCAGTGCAGAAGGCTATACTTATGACTCAGAAGAGATCCTTAAGTATAAGACTTAGATCCTCTTAAGTGTACCAGCAGCCCATAGATAACAGTAGATCTACATATTCTTGTGATAAAGTGAAAGCAATGTTAAAGTTCTGGTTCTTGTTCTGTTGTGGTTTAGCTTTGATTAGATTGTATCTACATTTTTCTCTATTGAACTTGAAGAATTTATGAGACAGTGTACAGGAAACCACTTTGAAAATGCCAAATATTATGTAAAAGTGAATATAACAATAGCTATTCTCTTACTAGTTAATTGCAGAACTTACATTAAGAAGATAAAAATTATGCATATTATCCTTTTTACATCCTTGAATCATCCTATGGACCAGAATTTATTCAAGATAGGAATTATTGCTGTTAAAGAGATTTTAATAAAGAATTGTTACATCTGGGGCTGGGATTATGGCTCAGTGGTAGATCTCCCGTCTAGCATGTTCCAGGCCCTGGGTTCGATCCTCAGCACCACATAAAAATAAAATAAATAAGATAATGTGTCCAGTTACAACTAAAAAATAAATATTAAAAAAAACATGAATTGTTACATCATCATCCACTGTGCTTTAAACTGTATTTAATGTTTTTGTTTATCTGTTATTAAAGGCAGCATTGAGGGGGATCTAGGAAAATCATGCCTTAATACATATTTGTTTAAATGTTGATTTCATCTAATGTAATGAAGAAAAGGATGGGCAAACCTGTAAAATCCTGGCTTGATTCCTTGTAGGAAACTGAGATACTTCTTTTTGACCTCTCAATAACAAAGTGTGATGGCTAAAAATATCATTCTTTACTAAAGCTATTCGTTTCATAAACTATAAAAATTGACACTTAAAAGTCAAATATAGGGGCTGGGATGTGGCTCAAGCGGTAGCGCGCTCGCCTAGCATGCGTGCGGCCCGGGTTCGATCCTCAGCAGCACCACATACCAACAAAGATGTTGTGTCCACCGAGAACTAAGAAAAAAAAATAAATAAATGTTAAAAAATTCTCTCTCTCTCTCTCTCTCTGTCCCCCTCTCTCACTCTCTCTTAAAAAAAAAAAAAAAAAAAAAAAAGTCAAATATACAGGCTGGGGTTGTGTCTCGGCAGTGGAGTGCTCGCCTAGCATGTGCAGGGCTCTGGGTTTGATCATCAGCACCACATAAAAATAAAGTAATTGTGTTTAACTACAACTAAAAAATAATATTTTTTTAAAGTAAAACACTTTATTGCTTCAGCTTGATGTTCTGAGAAATTCCTTGCTTTCTCTGTCTTGTTACTCATAGACCCATTTCCTGTTTTTTTTTTTTTGTTGTTGTTGTTGTTGTTTGTTTGTTTTGTTTGTTTGTTTTTCTTCATCTATAGTTTTTGGATGAAGAATTGAAGGTAGCTGGGAAATACAAAGGAAATGATTATAGCCAATACTCTCCTTGGTCATGTGACACCATCGGCTCCTACATTGGAACCAAAGATGCAAAACCCAAAGATGTTGTGGCAGCAGGGAGTGTGGAAATGATGGTATGTGTAATGGATAAGCCATTAAATCAAGAGACGCCAAGTAAATTTTTACTCATTATAGTCTAGACACAAATAATTGAGCCTTGCTTTAGAGTTTCAGATGATAGTCTTCTCTGCCGTTGAACTGCATTGAAACTATATGGTTCTTTTGTTTCATTCAAGTAAAAGTAAAAATTTATTATCTAGACAAAAGAACATTTATTGTATTTCTTCACAGGTGGTAATTTCCCACCAATTATTTAGAACCCAAGCTAAATTGTTTTATATAATTAAGATTTTGGGCTTCACCAAATAAAACTTTTTTACAGCTCTAAAAAACAAAGTTGAATCTAGTGAATAAGAGTATTATTTGAGTGAGAATTAAAGCTGATTTAGATTCAAGTGAGCTCTGATATTGAAATTTATTATTCTTAAGTTATCTGTTTTATCTTAATTGCCTTTTTTATTTTTTAAAGAAATGAAATTTTCCAGAGTTTGTGGCAGGAGCATTGCAAGTTTGAAACCAACGTGGGCAACTTAGCAAGACTGTCTCAAAATTAAAAGTCTGTAATGGTTGAGATTAGCTTGGTGGTAGAGTGCCCTGGGTTCAACCCCTGGGCAAAAAAAAAAAAAATGATGGTAATCACTTATACACTGGTAGCACTATAAATAAATGGTTTAATGTCTGTAGTATAAACACAAATAGATGACAGCTTCCAAAAAAACAGAGATAGGGATATAAAGGAGAACAAGCAAAAACAAGCCTTTAGGTGTTGGGTTTATATAGTTCAGTGCTGTGGTACTTCCCTAGCACTTGTGAGGCCCTGGGTTTAATCCCTAGCACACACGCACACGCACACACACACACACACACATGCTCGCTCGCGCACCTTTGTGTTTTTCTGTGGCACGATTCAGGAAACATTGCATTTAGGCCATATATAAGCCTTTTCACTGGAATAAGATGAGGAGGTGGAGTTAAACAGGAACCCTTGTTTTGGACATGGTGTACTTTCTGAAAGGATTATTACATTAAAAGTATGTGCATACTATATTATAACATATATCATATATTAATATTACTATATATGATATTTTAGGTATTACCAGTAAATTTTAATATTTTTTTTAAGTACATATGTGGTGTGGGGTTGTGGCTCAGCTAGCACATGTGCTCCTCCAGCACATGTGAGACCCTGATTTTGATCCTCAGCACCACATAAAAGTAGATAAATAAATAAAGGTATTGTGTCCAACTATGACTTAAAAAAAAAAAAAGTACCATATATGCTATCAAAATAAAGCTAATTTCCCCTAAATCAGTCAAGAATGAAAATGTTCTTAACACAATCTAAGTGTAATCTAGTTGTAATTGAAAATCTCCCACAGAGGCACAAAAATTCTAGCTCAGTGTTTCTCAGACACACTAATCTGTATACACATTACCTAGGAATTAGTCTCTCTCTACCACCCTATATATACAATTTGTATGTATAACATTATACATCATATATATGTGGATAAATACATGTTTCTATCAGGTGCTGTGGCATATGCCTGTAAATCCTGGCCACTCTAGGGAGCCTTAGGCAGGAGAATTGCAAGTTTAAGGCCAGCCTCAGCAATTTAGTGAGACCCTGTCTCAAAAAAATAAAAAGGGCTAATGGTGTAGCTCATTAGTAGAGCATTTAACTAGTATGTTTAAGGTCCTGATTTCAGTCTACCACAAAAACTATCTGTGTGAGAGTATATTTGTATGTGTGCATACTTGGTCATGATATAAAATATTTTATTTTTGACTATGAGGAGGGGTCATTGGTCCAAAGGGCAGTGTTTTATATAAGACACTAAAGATTTCAGTCTTACCAACATGGGCATGATGCTCTAGCCAAGCATAATGGTCCACACCTATAATCCCAATGACTCAAGAGATTGAAGCAGGAGGATTGCAAGTTTGAGGCCAGCTTTAGCAATTTAGCAAGAGACCCTGTCTGAAAATAAGTGAAAAGGGCTGAGAATATAGCTCAGTAGTACACCTATGATTCACTGCCTAGTACAAACATCATGATCTTTATTTAACCTTATTATAGAACGAGAAGAAATTATGTTAGAGATCTAAGTGTGGGGTAGACTTCTCATTCTGCTTTTATCATCAGAATGTGGAAAGTAAAGGAATGAGAGACCAGCGATTGGAACTTCAGAGAAGAGCAGTAGAAACCAGTGATGATGACCTCATCCCATTTGGAGACCGACCAACAGTATCTCGGTTTGGTGCCATCTCTCGAACTTCCAAAACGCTATATCAGGGTGCTGGCCCAATGCAGGCTATGGCACCTCAGGGAGCTCCCACAAAATCTATTAACATTTCTGGTAAGAATCTTCAGAGGTATGCTGACCCAAATTAATATTTGTGATTCCCAGTTTAATTCCTCTTCCCTGTTTACTGCCAGTGCTTTCAACAATTTTCTAAATCAGTAATTTTCAAATTTTTATGTGATTATATCAAAATGAACCCAACTATTATATACAGCTGTAATCCACCAATAGAAAGCAAAATAGTAATAATTTAAACAGAAGAAAAAATATAAAAACTGAAGCTTCTATGGGAAAGAAACAAATAGCAACACCTTATTTACCATTTTGGTAGATGACTTTTTAGACAGCTTTATAGGGAATATGTCTATACCTTTTAGAAGAAGAATCAAATCTGCATCATACTACAATAAATCATTCACTTACAGATTACAGTCCATATGGAACCCACGGTGGCTGGGGAGGTTCTCCATATTCACCTCATCAAAATGTAACTTCTCAGGGACACTTCAGTGAGAGGTATGAATCATACTTTTTACTTGTACAGATCTTTAAATTTTCAACTTATTTTGTCTTTTCAGTAAGTAGCATTTTCATAAAATAAAACTAAAATTTATTTCATGCTTTTCCACAAAAGGGAGCGAGTATCCATGCCAGAAGTAGCCAGTCATGGAAAACCCCTTCCATCTGCTGAGAGAGAACAACTACGACTAGAATTGCAGCAACTGAACCATCAGATTAGCCAGCAGACTCAGCTACGCGGATTAGAGGTATTAGCCTCTGAAAGTATAGATAATTTTTCATTCCAATTTTTGCAGCATTCTCAGATTTTAAATGGAGGAACTTTTGAGGTATTATGAACATAAAACTTTAAGGTCTTTTCCTTAAGGATTGATAAAGCTGTCCATTCATCAAAGAATTCAATACTAGGTTTAATTCTGGGATAATAGGAAATGTAAGAAGAGCCACCTACAAAGAGAAAACAGTTTATCTAAATTTCCCAGCAGGAGCTTTTATTCTCTGGTACTACAAGTTTAAGGTAAATTATTTATCAACAAGTACTTTTAGCTTTAGAAATTTTTAAAATTTCTCTTATTTTATTTAATCCTCAGCTTTTATAAATCTTTAGAAGGTAGAAACTTAGAACTTTAACCTATAATTCCTATATAAGAATATAACATGTTTCATTTATATAGTTATTTACAGTTTATAAATTATAATCACACATTCCCCCCAGTGCTGAGGACCCAGCACAGGGCTTCACATACTCACACAAGGTAAGCAACTGTACTACCACTGAGCTACACTCCCAGCCCACTACCACATATCTTATTTGACCCTCATAATATCCTTGAAGTGGTAGGCAGGTGGTATTGCCTCCCTCTTCTGATTGTGTGAAATTTTCCTATCATAAAAACAGAAGGCTGGGCTGATGGTACAGTAGTACAGTGCTTGCCTACCATTTGGGAGGCCCTGAGTTTGATCTCTAGAACCACAAAACAAAAATCAAAATGCTGTTTGCTTATGTTGGTCTTTAGTTTCATTAAAAGATTCAGGTCTTCGTTCCCACAGGGTGCAGTACTCCTTATCCTCAAATTTATGGCTTTTTGTCTTGTTGGAGTTTCTAGAGCCATTTTCTATATCAAAAGAATATTAGGAGGCTGCGGATGTGTCTCAAGCGTTAGCGCGCTCGCCTGGCATGCATGCGGCCCGGGTTCGATCCTCAGCACCACATACAA